CACAGCCTTCCTGGCTGTAGGGTGGAACACCGGTGTCAGTGCAGGCTGTCAGGTCAAAGCTGTCGTGTTCGGGACTCCTAGTGAGCAGCCCACTGTGAAGAGCAGGAGTTAGGGGCTGTTAATGATAAGACACCCTTCTCTGTTCTGGGGGTTTTGAGGCTCTTTGTTTTGGGTTTTGTTTGGTGCTTGGGGTTTTGGGGAATTTTTTCCTCTTGTTTTTTTTTGTTGTTTTTTTTTTTTTTAATTTTCGTTTTTTTTTATTTGTTTGTTTTTTGGTTTTTTTTTTTTTTTTTTCATGGCAAGAGAATGTGCTTAAAATCGAGGACCTGATTTGCAAGGCTGTCAGCTCATTTACTGCTACGCGCTGTGGCAACTGATAACGCCAACTGATGGCCTCTGTCAGCTTTAAGTGTCTCCAAAATATACCGAGCTTTTAATTTTCAGTTGATGGCAGGTTGATGACTGCTGTGCTGGAGGAGGTGACTAGTAATGCACCTTGGTATCTCCGTTTGAGAAACCATCGCTTCGCTTTCTGTTTCTTTCAGCATTGCTTGCTTTTCTTGTGGGGTTTGTTTTAGATTCCTTAAAATAGCTTGGAAGGCTGGAAATCCATGCCTGAGGCAGGACCGCTCGGTATCCTTAGAAACGTGAGACTTGGTGTTCTAATTGCAAATGTCATTTTTGTAACTTAGATAAGTGAGCTGGGCTGAGACATCTTGGCATTGTTGTTTTGTTGTTGGATTGGCTGTTGGTGGGATATAAAACATAAAAGGAAAACGTGGTGCTCGCTGAATTGATGATCTGTGGTCAAGCATCAGAGACCATCCAGTACATCAACTCAACAGTACATGAGTGTGGGAGGCTCCCTTATGGGACTTGAAACTGTAGTTGCGTAGTGGTTAAATAATGCCACTGTTCCTTGTGAAAGTGGTTAAAAATGTGGGTTTTAACTGCTGCTTTTCCTGAATGCTTTGTCTACAGCTGCAGGAAAATCAACATTTGTGGACATTCTCAAACAAGCTGATGAAGAATGGGAAGTTGTTCCTGAGCCTGTAGCGAGATGGTGCAATGTTCAGCCCAACTCTGAAGAGGATTGTGAGGTATGGCACAAGAAACTGAGGTTTCTTTTCAAAAACTTTTTAAAAACAAAAACCAACAAACCCCAGTCAAATGTTCTCCTAATGTTAGAAGACCAGTATATGTGATAAAGTCTGTTAGAAAATGTTTGTGATTGAGAGCAATGTTTTTCCTGATTCTTATCTCAGTATTTGAGTTCCTGTTTTCCTGTTTGCTTGGTGAATTGTAGAATAAATGTTATTCATTGTCAGGATGTAAATGATAAAGGCTGTAAAAGCCTGTTCTGTTTTATGTATAATGGCAAGGGATGGAAAAAGAGAGGACTAAAGTTACTTTTATCAACTGTGAATGAGCAGAGGGTTCTCCAGGTGCCCTGGCAGGTGTCGCTTAAAATGTCTAGGAAATAATGAACTACTGCTAAATGGTTTGTAGTGGTTTTTTCAGTCAGCTACCTGTAATTTTGTTGGCAATTCAGCTCCTGCTGAGTGGCCACAGTCCTGGCTGCATGGAGCTTTTGAGGAACTGTAGATTTTTCTTTTTTAGCTCTGGCAAAAAGTACAATGTGTTTTGGTGAACTAAATGAAAGCTTGTAATGGAGGTGTGACATTCTGTGGTGTGGAATATCTCATTGGCAGCTGTGGTCAGCTCTCCTGGCTCTGTTCCTACCAGCTTCCTCCCCCCCCCAGCCCGCTTGCTGGGGGGCAGAGTGGGAAAGGGAGAAAGCTCTGAGGCTGTGCTGTGGTGGGTTATTACCACTGTTTTGGCTGCAGACACAAACCACATCACTATATGGGCTGTTATGAGGGAGGTTAACTCCATCCCAGTCAGGTCCAGCAAGTGTGTCAGAAAACTTCATCATAGTCATCCCTGAAGTTAGACTTATTAAATTGTTCTTTTCTCCTCTTGCTTTGGCTGGTTTGCAGAAACAGGACATTATATATGACTCCTAAAATTAGTCAGGAGACCCAAAAAGGTTCCTAAGGACAAGACAGTACTCAATACCGAGCTGTTTGAGAACGTGTGTGTGGGTGTCTTTTACAGTCTTGTCTGCCTTGTCAATAGCTGGTAATGTTCTTGCTGTTGGCTAATTCACACAGTACCAGCAGTAGCTGCTGTAGAAAAGCACAGGACTGCACACCAGCTTGGTTATATGAATACTGTACAGCCTAAACAACAGGGTTTTGTTTTTAACTCTTTTCCTTCCCCTTCCTGACAAAAGTGATTAGCATTCAAGACCAGATTCAAGGATGGGGAGACGAGGCGGTTGGTCTCTTTTTCCAAGTAACAAGTGATAGGACAAGAGGAAACAGCCTCAGGCGTCACCAGGGGAGGTTTAGCTGGATATTAGGAAAAATTTCTTCACAGAGAGGGTGATCAGGCACTGGAACAGACTGCCCAGGGCAGTGGTGGAATCACCCTCCCTGGAAGAGTTCCAAGAATGTGTAGATGAGACCCTTAGTGACATGGTTTGGTGGTGGTCTTGGCAATCCTGGGGTAAAAGCTGGACTTGATCTAAAGGTCTTTTCCAACCTACTTGATTCTATGATCCTATCTTGATTATTGCTTTTTTTAATATAGTTTAATACTAGAGAGTAGACATCTTTAATAAAGCTGGTACTTTCATTGTCTCACAATACCAGGGCAAAAAAACAGAAGTAAAAAGATTTGGGAAGTTCATTTTTACATGTGTGTGTTCATAGGAAGAGATTATGAAAGTTGCACCTGAAATACTTCAGATGTCTTAGTACTGTGCTTTTTCTATACAGGTTTTTTCAAGGATATTGGAATCTTTTCCAGGGACCAGTTCTGTATCTTTTATTTCTTACTGCTGAAACTGATAAATAAGCATCATCTGACTTGTGAGAGGTCACTGTAGCTCCATCTTCTCCGCTTGGTGATGGCGTAGGGGGGCGTATTCTGGTTAGTGGAACCAGGCTGTGTTCCTTGACTCTACCAGACTTCCGTTGTATGCCAGCTGGGGCTCTTCCAAGCAGTTCCCAGGCAGGTTTGGGCAGTAGAATAGTGCAGGGCTCTGCTGACAGTGCACTCACTGCACCTAACTGTGTCCTTTCTGAGGCTTTGGAGGGGTTGTGCTGTGGACAGTGCTCTGGGGTGCTGCTTGGCCAGTGTCAGAGCATGGTGCTGGGCATGTTTGGTTTACTAGTGCAGGTATTGTTGAGGGAATTAGAGGTATGAAACCTGGAATTCCAGAATCTTTTGAAAATATGTCAGTATTTGGATTTAGTGTTAATGTAACAAAAAGATTCAGACAGAAGCAGTCATCTTTGCTAGGCTGGGTTTAATGTACCCTGAATCACACAGCCTTCTGTTTCTGTGAGCTTCAGTGGCTTTCTCTACGTGTTGGATCTTCCTCATTGGCTGAGGAAGATCTTTGCTCTGGAGTCTGTTTCGAACCTCCCAGGTAAGGTGAGAGGTCTGAAGATGCTGCGTCAGAAGCTGTTACCATAGGAACAACTGTAATTAATAAATGGAAAACCAAAATAAGCTCAGCTTTAAGCTCACACTTGTCAGAGTAAAAGGAACATGGTTTTTCTACTGTGTTGTTGACTTTTTGTACTGATAGGATGTTGGTTTTTTTTATTAAAGGTTGTAAACGGTGACCAAAGTGGTTTGGTACTTGAACACTTGGGCACTGTGAATTGCAGAGTTGCTTATTCAGCTCGGCACCATAGGAGGAATAACATTTCTAATGCTTATGCTTTGTATTATAAAGATAGTTGAGAGGCAAATTAAGCAGCTGTAAACCTGAAATAAAGGCTGAACAGCTTGAATGTTGTAGAGCAATTGTGTCACATTCATCATCCGCCCTCTCCACTTAAGGGGTCTCTGTTGACAATCAGGAGCCGACCACATCACAGAAGAGTGGCGGAAATGTGCTTCGGATGATGTATGAGAAGCCAGAGAGGTGGTCTTTCACTTTCCAGACGTACGCGTGCCTGAGCAGGATCCGGGCTCAGCTCAGGTCCCTCGATGGCAAGGTTAGGGAGGCAGAGAATCCTGCCGTCTTCTTCGAGCGATCTGTCTACAGTGACAGGTATGTTGGACTGGGGTTCTTCAAGTGAAGATCAAAATTCTCCGAAGTAAAACTACTGGTTAGAGGGTTTATAGTTTGTTGTATATCCTCAATTAACAGGATCTGTAGTTTCTCATTCTTTGTGGGTAGGTTTTTTATGCTTTGCGCATGCACGTTTCCCTTCCGAGAAAAGAGAGGAGCAGGCATCAAGAAGAGTCACAAGCAATTTCTTCTTTTGAACCACGACAGTCACTTACTCTTGTTTTCTTTCTTTTATGGTCCTTGATTACAGGTGACACTATTTCCTATTGCTGTACCCTGTTTCTGGGTTCAGAAGGTTAGATTTGATAATTTGATAATTAAGAAAGTTAGATTTCTATCTGAGCTGCCAATGTTACTGCTTCTTGAGGGCACATCTCTGGCCAGCTGCAGTGGACATAGAGAATGAGGATACTAGCTGTTTATTTCTACTCCAAGTATACCCCAAAGAAGTTGCAGAATTACTATGCTCAGCTGCTTTTCTGCTTACAGTGCAGTACTTCAGGCAAACAAAGCGAGAACTGTGTTCAAGCTAACTTCTATTTTGGTAACTACTTTGTGTTCACAGGTACATCTTTGCAGCTAATTTATACGAGTCTGACTGCATGAATGAGACTGAATGGACTATTTACCAAGACTGGCACGACTGGATGAACCAGCAGTTTGGTCAGAGGCTGGCACTGGATGGCATCATTTATCTCAGAGCCACTCCCGAGGTGTGACCTCAAAGAGAACAAGAGTGCATGTTCTGTGCCTTGCCTGTAAAATTTGATCTTTCTTTATGCTTCCATAGTATTTTTTTTTAAGTATAGGGTTTAACTATGATTTTAGACCTTTTTTATGATAAGAGAATAGTGTGCTTTCAGTCAACTCCAGTAAGGTCACAGTTGTGTGTCACTGCGTCTTTGTTTTAGGGATTGTTTTGGCTGTCATAGGCAAATAAACAGTTGAAAAATGCTTGTTGAAATGTGATATTCTTAAAATCTTGAGTTACTCTTTATCTTCTGCTGTAACAGTCCTAATGATTCCAGTTCAGTTCAGGTTGCAGTATTCCCCTGAAGGCTACAATGCTTGAGTTATGACTAATCAATCTGGAAATACTTAAAGAAAAGAATGTTCTTTCAGATGTGGCCTCTGTATGTTTTAATAAAATGTGATGATAATGGTTTTCTAATTATAAAAACAATATATGGCAAGAGCAAACCAGAAAATACCACTGGAATTGAAAACTACAGTTTCTCTGAAGGCTTTTTTGCTAGGCTTGCTATGGAGGGCTCTTTTCCTGCTCGCTCCCTCCCTCCCCCCGCAAGTCGAAAACATATATTTACATTGGAAAATACAACAGTTTTAAACAATTTTGATTGCAATCTTATTGAGGCTCTGGATGTGTTCAGGACAGGAACAAATGATTAACTACATGGCAAAAACAGGTTCCAAAGAGCCAGAAATATATAATGAGACTTTGAAATGCCTGTGTGTGCTCTTTTCATGCTATACATGGGTACCCCTTCTTTTAATAAAGAGCTTATTTGGGACTTTCCTTGTAGTGGAGAAGTAACGTGATACATTTCCTTTGGGGTTCCCCTTTGATTTTGTTTGTAGTCTGTGGGTTCCATCAGCTGAATATGACATAGTGTTTATATGCTAGTAAGATAGTTAGCAAGTTGAATATTCATTTTTGGCAGAGAGTGACATATTGAGCATAGTAGGAAGGGTTGGCAAAAGAAACTTCAGCAAACTAGACTTTCTCTGTAGGTGTTCAGAAACTGTTTTTTTTAAATTATTTTTTTAATTATTATATTCTACCTTTAGAAATGCTTAAATAGGATTTACTTGCGTGGAAGAGATGAAGAGCAAGAAATTCGCATAGAATATCTGGAGAAGCTTCACCACAAACATGAAAGTTGGCTTCAGCATAGGACACTGCGGTAGGGTTTGTTTAATGATGGATTGATCTTTGTAAGGGTATTCCATAATGTTTTTTCAACCAGTGAAACTTGAGCTTTTCCTATGATACGAAAAGTTAAACTCCTGGAATGTTTCTGTCTGTAGCTCTTTAGTAGTACTGGCTTGACAGCATGTTAATTATCACTAGGACACACAATGTGCCTTGAGTTCTCTTCACAGAGAGCTCTGAAGAGCAGAGGATTCAGCCGAGCTAATTTAATATGCAGTTGAATTAAACTTTAGGTGCTGGGAAGAGAAGGCTTGAGAATCAGTAACATATCCTAGGTGCCACTGTAAATTCAAGCTGCCTTATATTCAGAGTTCGTGGCTGTAGTTTATATGTGCAGTTCTCATTGGATTCTTAACAAGGGAAATGCTGATAGAGACTTGAATGATGGGTGCTTGTTTTAAGCTACTAACATTTTCTGTGTTCCTATCCCAATACAGAACAGATTTTGAATATCTCCAGGAAATACCTATTTTAATGCTAGATGTTAACAAAGACTTCAAAAGCAAAAAGGACATATATGATCACATGACTGAAAAGGTAAGATTTCATAAGCAGAACAAACTGATGAGTGAGGTTTATTGCCAGCATGTCAAAAGGAATTCAGGATACTTCTTGCATCCCAATGTGTAGCAGTGTTTGAAGTCAGACTAGATTTAGAACCTGTGGTTCTTCATGGTATTTCCTACATAAAATTTCCATTTAAAAAGAAAAAAAAAGAAAAGACAAAGGGAAGGAAATATTCCAGGCATATTAGGCATATTTGAGAAGACTTTGACTAGTAGCTTTGTTTGTAAATGGAATTTCTAATTGAAATATCCATCAACTGTTTGAAAGTCTTCCTTGTGTTAGGTGTGAAAGTGTCTCACCTACAGGATTAGTGAATAAAAGAACTTTAGTGCCAGGTACTGTGAAAGTACAGTACAAAACCAGTACAAGGGAAAACTGAAGGATGAATTTTCTGAACCCACAGCTGAATTCTCATCTGAAGCAGTGAGCCAGTTGCAAAATGATTTTAGGTTCTGTAGATCTCTCTAGCTAAACAAAAGAGAGTGTATGGGCTGCCCCTGTCCTGGTTCACATGTCACAGCAAAGGGCAGTACAGCTGATGCAGACAAGGATCCTTTACTCTAAAAATACACTTCAATATATAACCATCTAGCTGAAATATTTAAGTCATGGAGTTACATTCAGATAATGAATAGTCTCACAGCCTCCTGCAATATTTTTACCCTTCTTTATTAAATTGGCACTACCATGAAAGTTTTTCCCTTCATCTGTGTTCATGAAAGTGTTAATCAAAATCCTCAAAAACAGGGTCTGAAACTTGAGGCAGTACTTTTCAAATGTAGCTTTCTACTTCATTTTGGATTTAATGCAGAATATTCATCAGAAGCATTTTTTAGTTTTATTTGAAGGCATGGAAAAAACACTGTCTATTTGATATAAAAAAGAACTCAAGTTGAGGTTTCTGCTTGCATTAAGAAGATGTAATCCTTAGTATGAAAGGTGTAACGGATATTTTAAAGCTAGGCCAAACAATCAGTATTTTAGCTATTTGGGTATTTGGTATTTGAATCTTGGTGGCATTCAGCTGAGGACAGCTTGACTTTTGTTTCAGTAGTCACAATGAGTTACAGACCTTAGCAATGGTATGTGCACGTATTACTGCTCTTTGGAAATAAATTGTTTACCTCACAAGAAGAGCAGCTTTGTCCTTTGATCTCAGTTGGTCCTCTGAGAAGTAGAACTGTTCATCTGATTAAAACCAGTCTTCATGGTATTTGCTCTTTTAAAGCTTGATACTTGATGGAATGACTGGACATTGCAGCTGTGGAGTGAAAATGCTTCCCATCTGCACCCAAGATAAGGCCAAACCCAGGCATCTGTGTAGGTATTTCAGAGGAGTTTACTCATGCAGGGCTGTCAGGTTATCTGGGAACAGCCTAAGCCCTTTCTTGGCATTTCAGAGTGGAGTCTCAGAACTGCTACACTCTTCATGAGGCTGATTGCTTGGGCCCTCAGTGTATGCTCATGTCCATAGGGGACCCAGAACTTGTGTGCTTCTTTCTCACCTCTGCTGTGATGCTCACACTCGGAGACCCATGCTGAAACTATGCGTCATGCTGAGGTTCATCGTGCTCTACTGCTATTGGTCCTTCCTGAAGTGGAGGGTGGCTTTCGCATAATACCTTATCAGTTAGAGTGCTGGCACAGTTATGTGTTCCCTTCTCTCCAGGAAGGGATTTTGACCTCTTATTTTTTCTGTCTCCTTAAGCCTTCAGCTGGGAAAGGAAGGGTCACAGGTAGAGAACATGATCCAAGGTCTGTTTCCATTTCACATGAAGAATTTGGACAAAATGTTTGCAGATGTTCTGTGTATGAGAGCCTCTGCCAAAGGAATAATACCATGTTCTCTAGTACATTGTTGATTCCTTTCTAGGCAGTAGTCTAGCTTGAGGGGACAGAGAGGAAAATGCTCCTAGTTCAGGCTGTATTGCAGCTAATTGCTAGGATGCTCTTGAAACTGGGAGATGGGAGTTGTGTGCTCAGGCTCTGTATTCCTTGGGTCTTATATTTTAAAAAAGGTGGCCTGGCCCTTGCTGCCCTGAGGCTTTAAAGTGAGAAGGGATAATTACTTTTGGGGGAGGGGGCACAACAGGGCAGCATGCATACCTATGGCAGGTTGCGTGTTTTCAGCATGTTGTCTTCCTGCCACCTTTGGTAGTGACCTGAATTTAAGATGTTGTCTGAAGTGACCACACTTAGGAGTGTAATGGTAGCATGCTGCCAGGTTTGGATCCAGTTCTTATGCCATTGCATGGATTATTTGAGGTGCCGTGCTGTCTTGGTACTCTCTATGGGATCAGGGATTTCTGACGCTGGGTTCTAGATAGCTTTCTATGAGCCATTATTAATTTTTAGGTAGCTGTAGCCATTTGTGCCACTCTTCAAATACTGAAAACGGAGTTCAACGGTACCTGAACTCTTTAAGGCTGTTCCACAGTATCAGATTTTTCTCAGAAACTGTGGTTTTGCTGGGTAATGTTTTATTATTTACTTTCCATCCTCGAATTCCAAGGAACATAGTAATTAGATATTTTGAGCTGTTCATAGACATGAAATGTGAGCAGTGTTCTGGCAGTGGGTGTGATTTGGTGTTTTCCAAATGCCAGTCTTTTGAGGTGCTCGTTATTCTCTTCTTGTTTAGGTTATACCTGCTTTTAAGAGAAATCATTTGCAATATTGGGCCATAGTTTAGGACCATGGGAGGAATGAGCATCATTCCACTGAGTATGTCTCTGCACCTGCTAAATTACAGGTATCATGGCTGAAAAGTTCTTGATGGACAAGAAATGGCATAGCTGAGGCTAAGATTGTTTTCCCAGTTCCTGTTTCTGTAAATTGTAGTAAAGCATAAAGCACTGGGGAGGTAAATGTAGTTGCTGTATATTTCTGCTGATGAATACTTAGTTTGATTGACCATATTTGTTTCTTTTTGCAGGTCAAAGAATTTTTGAGTGTGTTATAATCCTCTTTGAAGTGCAGGCAGAGTCAAACTGTTCCAAACATCTGCGTGCTGAAAGTTGGAAGTGCAGCTTCTGCTTTTATAGAAGGCCTCTGGAGAGGCAGGACTCAATCCTGTCAATTATGAGAAACAAACAAGCTTTGTGAATAGGGAATTATTAAATAAATCACTAGGTCTGTTCAGTATTATATGAAGTAACACACACAAATTCTGAAGATACTCGAATTCCAAGAGTTCCCAAATGTTTCTAATCAGACCAGTAAGTTCTTCTGGAGCATTTTATTGTATGTTTAAAAATTACTTTGTGCCCAGTAGCTATTTAGTGTTCAAGAAGTTAGTGGGTTTTTAGATCTCTTGACTGAGTTTTTAGTGGAATTGACTTGTTAGAGATGTCTCATCATGCTGAGAAAGGAAAAAGTAAACCCCATTTTTGCTGCTGAGGGAATTGTAATATAACCTGGAGTTTTATATTGTAAGGTGTAAAAAAAAAAGTCTTCTGATAGTTTTGACAGATGAAGTTCTGCACAGAATGCTCCAAATTAAACCAAAATCAAATATGGCTGAAATGCTGTAGGTACTGAATGAGGTCTTGATTGTGCACTGCAAATGAGGATATTGAGAGGCTTCCATTTGTCCAGCATGTTTTGGTTTCTTTATTATTCCCCCCCACCCCCCAAGCTCTTAATACAGCAGAGATGCCTTTGTTGTTGCTAAGTCCTCCTCTCCTGTGGAGGGAGTATGTTTGCTCGATGGGTACTGTAAAAGGGAGGACATTTTGCAAAGGGCCTCCATCTGTAAATGACATGTTTCTAACCCTTCCCTTGATCATATTTTGGATGTCAGAAGTGGCTTCCTGCTTTTCTCCCAGCTTCTCCGTTTGTTCACTGGGCCTTCTGAGTGCTTACACAAGATCCGGCGATACTGGCAGTAGGCTGTCCCTGTCCTTTCTCATCCCCATGTAGTAAGACAGGGGACCTTTGTGGAGTAGCTGCTGTTCTAGTGCATCATGTTTTATTGACTAAGCCACTTTTGTTTCAGGTGCAGAAAAGACAAACTATACAGGGTACACATCTTAACACGATGTTTTACGAGCTGCTTTGTTCTGCTTTAAACATTTCTGAACGATTGCACAGGTGGGTTTTGAATGCCAAAGTTAATTGTAAAGTATTTTATTGTCTGCTATGGTGCCTGTGTACCAGCAAATCCCTTCCTTTGTGGTTGGTATTGTGCTGGTGTGCTCTAACCCTTGACTGGAAAATAAAGGTGGTTGGAAAGACTTTTTCAATGTTTGATAGTATTCACTTCATTGTCTCATAAAAGAAATGATGTTGTAGGTTGGGATGTAATACTGGTACAGCAAAGGAATTTGGTATATACCTTTGCTTGGTACAGCAAAGGAATTTGGGAGTATGTGTTCTCTGTGTATTGCGTGTCCCAAGTCCTCTAAGATTTCTGAAACACTGTGACTGGCTTCAGATTTTTATTCTCATGTGGAAAATGTGTTTATGGGATAGAGATACAGGATTATTTAAAATGTGTCATATGTATAACTTACTGATCAGTGAGAAAGGTTGTGTAGTATTTATGTTACTGTGGAATGTAACAATAGCATGGTAGAAAGTCTTGTTTTGGACTTCCAGATTGCCTAGGAAAAGGAAAGCTTTTAAGATCTTTGCTCCAGAAATGAAGTGAGGTGGAATGGATGAAGATTCTGTTCAGATTTTCTTTGAAGCACATAGCAGAAGCCTTTAAAACATTCTTGGCAACAGTCTGAACAGTAGCAACTTACTTTGACTAACAGTGCAATTATTCCTACAGTTTCAGCTCTCAAAACTGTGGATTTAATTACAGAATTGGAATGACAGTGCTCATTGGCAAGAGTAACCAAGCCTGAGCTCTAATAAAGACTTCTTTCTGAACTCATCACAGAGCACACAGAAATTCTGTGGCAGGTTATCTGCATCCTGTTCCAGAAAGCCTTATAAAATCTGACTGCCAGGTTTGGGTTTGAAGGAGCAAAGTCATGACCAATTATTAGACTGGGTTTAATTGCTGTGGGAAAAAAAAAACCAACCAACCCAAACCACAGACCCCACTCACCCCCAAGCTTCTCAGGGCTTTAAAGTAGCTGGGCTGAACTATGTGGTGCTGTAGTTATTTGGATGTAGGGCAAACACAACACCAACAGCCGTGGAGATGTCCTCCTGTTCTGCTTGTGGGGCAGCTGATAGCTTGCAGCTCTGACAGTACCTCAGACTTCAAATTTGTCAGTATTCTTTTCTTTGCTTAAACCTATTCCCAGGCTAGCAGAAAACAGGATTGTTGTGTTGCTTTTTTGCTTATTAGGAAGAGTTCTGAACTGATATCTACCGTTTGCTGATGACGTTTTTTCCATCTTTTGAGTGCTATGTCCCTTTCTCTTCCCCTGGGTATGAGAGACTTTGATGCAACATGCTAGAAATCCTTGCTTGTTTTAATCAGTAAGGAAATAAAGTTGGTATGTGGGTTTTGTTACATTTTTCTCAGTTAGGATACAGAATAAAATACTGATTGATAGTATTTAATTGCTGTGGAAGTGTATGTGTGAGCAAGGGACGTAATATTGCCTCATTTTATTTTCAGCCCTTGTAGCTGTTTTCTGCGTAGTGATAGATTTTAAGTTCTCTTACTTCTTAGTATAAATGCTTTTTACAACAGCAACCAATTTTGTAGGTAAAACTTAATTTTCTATAATTTTGTGCTTGTTACTCATTTCTACTGTCTTCTATTAATTTAAGCAGGCTTCCCAATAGTGAAATTGAATTAAGAGGTGATTAATATTGAGATTATTCTGTTCTTTTCCCAGTAATTAAAGACTCCAAGAATCTATTTGTGAAATAAAAATGATGCAGGAAAAACTGACCATAAACTGTTAAGCATGGACTGGGGAAGTACGTACGTAGTAATAATTAAATTCTGTCTCAGCAATTGCACAGTTTCCTATTGCCAGGAGGTTTCAGCATAGCTAGATATAGGGACTCAAAGGGTGCTTTCGCAACTCCCATTTAGACTCATTGCATGACCATGAGTAAATCACTCTTTGCCTCTTTAACCTTTAAAATATCGGTATCTCCTGCTACCTTCAGAAGGCTGGGAGGATTCGTTAGTTATATTGGTGTGCTGTTTTTAGACATTAGGGAAAAAAGTGTTCATTATGAGGGTGGGTTGGCTGCTCCATCCCTGGCATGTTGAAGGCCAGGTTGGACAGGGCTTGGAGCAACCTGGCCTAATGGAAGGTGTCCCCCCTGCCCTTGGCAAGGGGTTGGAACTAAATAAGCTTTAAGATCCCTTCCAGCCTCAACCCTGGTTTTAGATTTCTCACTGGGATGTTTTGATGCCCTCATGGAAGGGGCCACTGGCCTAGGTTCATGTCCAATAGGAATTACTTGTTTTAAAAGCTACTCAAAGCCATCAGTGCAAAGGCAACTGTGTTGAAGTTAGTTCATTTCTGGAAAACCGTGGCCACCAAAAACTGTCACTGTTTGTGAGGAAAGGAAACTTATCACAGTTTGATCTCGAAATACAAATGGATGTCAAAAGCTGTCTGCTACCCCTGCAGCCAGTGACAGAGGTGAAGCTATGTGCAGAGTTGGCCACAGGAGGTCATTGTGTCCTCAGTTCTCACTGCCCTGCCTGCCAGCAGTGTTGGTGCTTTAATAGTGAATGGCTTTAGAAAGGGTAAGGAAGGAAGAACTTTGCCACAGCAAAAACATGAAAGTGATTAATAAATACTGAATGAGATAAATTTTGGTCTCTGGAGGAAGTGGAATAAAACAAACCCCCGTTGGATTAAGTGAAAGACTAGTCAAAGCTGAGGTGATGGGAGAGGTTTTAACACCAGAAGATCTGCCCTGCAGCCACCAGCTGCTTCTGTTCTGTGAGTAAATGTTAGCGCATGGATTACAGTAATCCTGGTGTGTCTGAACGACAACTGTCTGCTAGTGCTGAGCTATTGGGCCCGAATGCAGACAGTGAGGGGTACTAATGCTGGCAGTGTAGAGCAATGACCAATTCTGCTACCTGAAGCCACTCACAGTACTTCATATGCCAAATATACATGTGGGCTGGGTACACATCCTTTGAAATTCTGACTGATAGGGACAAGGAGCACAGATTCCCTACTGGACGTAAGTGGTGATTTATTTAACCTTAGGCTAGTACTCAGTGTGGTTGTACAATCGATGTAATGTGCAGAGCCTCAAAGTTGAGCCTGTTGTGTGTAGGTGGCTTTTGTTGGTTTTCGCTCTAGGTTTCAGTCCATGGCCATAAATAATATAATAGCAGCATAAATAAGAATAGAGTGCATGCTAAATTGGGATAATAGCTATTGCCCTTTGCTTGGATTGCTGCTGGCTGCTCTTCCCAGTGCCTTAGGCAGGGTGTAAGTTACATAGATGTGTCTCCAGAATGCCAAGGTTGTCCAGCTTGCACCATGTGTGTTTGCTGGCTAAGAGTACTGACTGACTTGGAGAAAGGCAGTGGGTTCCTCAGACTTACTTATAGAGCCGCCACTGCTGCAGTTCATTCCAAGTACATTCCTCTGCTTTCTCCAGACTCTCCTGTCCTGCATGTTGTGCTTTTCTCTTCAATTCCCTTCTAAGTTGTGACTTGTCTTTTAATAACTACTAAAAACATGATCCCGTACAAGTTGTAACAGACTTGTTAACGCCAAAATTTCACCGGCATGCAGCCTACTTGAATATCTGGCTTCTGCTGCTCTTCCAGTTTGGTGTCTTAGGTGTTCTGGTCCTCTTTTCTGAGCAGTCTTTCTGTGTTAGCCCACTGGAGTGCTGGGGCTCTTAACCCCTCTTGCTTTCAACACTGTCTATGGCTGCATGCTGACAGCATGCTCTTTTCTTCATAATGATGTTCAGATTTGCCTTAGGAAGTTTCCTAAAATGACAGCTATTGCTGTTTCCACTGTGCTTTTGGCTAGCTGTGGCTGTCAGTCTAGCTCATGGCCT